ATACATTATAAAAATGCATTTCTTGTCTTTTCTAGTGTGATTTTTAACCTACGGTTTTTGAAGAATACAGGACTGGAGGGCAATGATGATGTGACAACTGGGAGCAACGCAATTTACACTATCTGATTCATACGCCTCCAGACAATCATATAGTCCACAAACTTGACAAACGACCTTTTTCCACGCCACTAGGAGACATTCATTTCCTTTTATCAGTGTTCGCTTCATAAACTTGCACAGAAAAAAATAACGTATATAGATCTTCAACATAGTGAAGAACAAAATATAGTAACACTTCGTTTAGTACTTAGGATGCGTTCCTAGACTATACGCAAGGGCTTCTTTAGGAAGAAAACATCGTTAATTAACGAAGTCATATTAAAAGAAAGTTATTTTAACATATAGTAAATTTGGAGTTTTTTTTTAAATTTCAAATGAACTGCGTTATATCGGGGAAACGTTAAACAAGGTCTTACTGTACCGTAAAAACAGGAAAGACTAATGTAAAGAAGTCACGATTGCTTAACTCATAATAGTTTTAAAGACACGTTGTCTTTTTAATATTCTATTAATAGTAAAATTATTAATAATTTTTTGTAGAATTAAGAAACTATTAATATTTCATATTTTCTTCTATTCTATACTTTAATATTCAAAATTCTTGGTGTTTAGAATCCAACACTGTATTATTTCATAACAAAAATCTTGTAATAACTTTGAATATCACAAGAAAATTGGATAAAATATATTGAAATTTAATGAGCGACATAACATTAACTTTACGCGAATATCACATTTCACAATAAACTGTAATACCATACATCCGCTCAATTAAAATGGATATAAAAACCGGTGGATTACCTGCAAATTCAATCATTTCGATTTGAACATTCAAAGATGTTCCACGAAAATAACAAGAAAGTCTACGACCTTAAACTAAACAAGCTTCAAGAGAAAAATGAGAATTTGAAGACGTATTGTTGTTTGATGATTAGATGCAGGTATTTCATCTGCAGCAAACTTAATAAAGAAAATTATCGAGAAGAACAACAAGAACATTATTCACCTGAAGACTGAGCTTTTGGTTTTGGAATCATTCGATATAAGCGAATAGATAGGATTTTTACAATGACGAGGAGAGACAAATTATACTAAAAAAACCTCTTCTATATTAATTATCATTTACTTAATTTAAAAACTTATATAGTACAAACCAATTAATTTGTGTATCCAAAACTATCAATAAAAAAACTGTTCACATTGCAATCATACACGCAAAAATTGTAAATTGAAAACTGAATCGACATTCACATGAAACATTCTGATGATGTTTCACGTGTATGTTGAAATATTTACGATTTTATTTATTTTCATTTTATTTTTTTGGCAATTGATGCGGTGAGGTGGAATTTGATGCGGATACGTGCCACGTATTCATTTCCTGTGTTGTCAGACGAAATCCGTTAAATTGCCTGCATCGGACATTGATGCGTATTATTTGACTGTCTGCTAAAATGAAACGCTAAATACGCAATTCATCGAATACAATCAATTTTTTTTATTTGTTTGTTTTGAAATTGAATGTTTGTCCTTTGTCGTTCATAGAAGTTTTCAGTCTAAAAAATGAGTACAAAACATTTATGATTAATTGCATAATATCATATTTTGCATTACGTAATCTTTAATAAGTTCATGTTTATATGAAATAAAATCTTTTAATTTGTCTTAAATTATTGTAATATATGTTTCATAGATTTCAAGCTATTGTTGATGAAATAACAAAACCCAATTCTATTTGTTTGAAAATAATAGATTAAATAGTTTTTAGATGGTAGTGAGCTGTTTTTACTAGTAGAAAGGGTAACGTTTATTATTGTCGAGAATGGAAAATATTTCATTATTTTTAATCTCCAAAAATTAGAAAATAACTAAATTAAACTTGTTTGTGAAAATGGAAAATACAAAATTCCAGACAATTTCCTTTAGTCACAAATAATTACAAAAAGTTACTTAAGGTCACAAATAAACAAAAATTCCCGGAAATTTTATTTAGTTAAATAATTAAAACTTTAAGCATAAAAATGACAATTGATACATTTTCTTCTATTTTTTTTTAATTATTTTTGCCTTTACCATTGATATTTGCCATTATATTGTTAAGTCCTTTCAATTTAAAACAGACTGAATTTTAGCTACGGAAACGTGTAACATATATGCAACTTAATAAACATCTACAACAGACTATCATAAATGGAGCATTACTATATCGGTTTTAAATAAGATCATATTAATAAATATATATTTACACAGATAATAGTATACATATTAGTTTTTTTTTGTTAGTATTCTAAACACTTATATATATTGCAATAATTCGCTTAGTTTGGGTTCCACCAATATCACGGACTGTGAAACACAGAAATAAACTTGATCGTATAAAGGAATTAATAAACGATAATTTATGAGAAGATAATTCTGTATAATATTTTTAGAATTTGTTTTGCTCAAATAAATCTTAGTTTGTTTTCAAATTTTCCAACAGAACTATAGTAAATCCGGACTGATCAAAGCCGGACTATGCCAGATATGTCTATACTTTATACTTGTTGAGAATATTGAAAACAAGTGTTATATGTTTTAGCTAAAGACATTTCTTTGTAGTTAATATTGGTGAGCTTTAGAGAATTTTTACAGTTACATAATATAATACTATATAATATTGTCTACTAAGTCATGTCATACAAATCAAAGTTTTTTTAACCATTTTTTCTGTGTCAACCAAAATATATGTTCGTCGCTGGATTGATTTTTTTTTGCTAAAGGAATTTTATACAATTGTTTGGTTTTATAGAAGTTATGAAAGTTAAGCAATGTATATGCACATGAATTGGCGGTAGTTTTGGAAAGTAACAATTTTTAATATTACAAATTACAGGGGTTTTTTATATAATTTATAATTATATTTTAATAAAACTCATGTATCATCAATTCATTTCATTCAACAAATATAATATTGTAAAACTCAAAGTAATTTGTCGTCTCTGGAATATCATTTATAGATTATGCAAAATCGGATTTGCGTAATCGGGGATGCACTGAAAAGGCGGAGAAGATCGGCGAAATTTTGCACGGTTTGCATTTCTTCGGTCGAAACTCGTGGAACTCCACCCTCCTGCACGAAATACGAATTATTCTTTAGGGTGAATGCGTCTAGAGTCCACAGACCCACTAAAACACATTTCACTTTAATTGCTTTTAAAAATAACGGAAATGCAATTTCTCACTCCAGAATGTCCCTCGCAATATGCAATTAACGTTAAAATCATTTAGCATGCTTTTCGAGGCAATTGCCATAATTTAGTTTCAAGTCAGCCCATATTGCAAATTATACTTTAGTTCTTTTAAATTTAGTAATTCAATCGTAGATAATTACAGAAGAACTAAACTAAAGACATTAATGAACTCTCAAGTACATGCGCTTGTATTTGTTACGTAGATCTAGAGCAGAGGTTCCCAAACTTTTTTGTGTCGTAGATCCCTTGCCATGTTTTTCCCTACTTACCTGATATTGATTTTTTGTAAATTTATTATTTATATTGGGACATCTTTATAATTATTAAGATCTTTGCTCTGAGACTGCGCGTATACTTGTAACAAGATGATACTGGTATATTATTATGTGCAGGTTTTTACAAGTTCAAAATGTATTGCAACCACAAAGCGAATGTCTACATCCTACAACTTACACAATTACATCATAGGTACTTTTATAAATAATGTATATGTTTTTATATTATAAGATAGTATAATGTAAGTAAATAGGTACTATCAGTGTATGTTGATATCCACTATCGTGGACCCCCATTTTCATTTCATGGACCCCCAAATTTTTTTTCGCTGACGTAGACCCCTTGCAGGTTCTCATAGACCCCCTGGGGTCGATTTAGACCACTTTGGGAATCACTGATCTAGAGGGATTGTCCGGCGGTGAATTTACCGGACATCATTGTATGTTTGTGCGAAAAAAAAAACGGTTTTCGAATTTCAACTTGTCTACTAAAATACTAAAAATAGAGACAAAAGGTTGTTTACAAGTTATTATCTTTTTATTTAAAAATTTAAAATAGTAACAAAATAAAATCTCACAAAAAAAAACTTAAAATTTCTATAATATTACTATAAACTATAACAAAATCAAATTTACTCCATAGAAACGCTCCGTTCCAGATGTCACTCCCCATAGAACCCGTACGACCAGTCGAGGTGATGGATGTCATCAATAACTTGAAACTGAGTTACGACCTGATAACGATAAGGGTGATGAAGGAGCTACCCAGAAAGGCCATAGTACTGCTGACGACCATCTTTAATTCCCTGCTGAGAACGAGTTATTTTCCCTCCCACTGGAGGAAGATGTGATTCCAGACCTTCTTCTTGTTCTTAGATCGCCGACTCACGTGGAAGAAGCACATCGCAACTAAAAGGAAGCAACTGGGCATCAAGTTCGCGAAATTGTACTGGCTGATCGGCAGAAGATCTCCACTATCCCTCGACAACAAAGTATTAATCTAAAAAACAGTGCTGAAGCAGGTGTGGACTTACGGCATCCAGCTTTGAGGAACAGCCAGCAATTCCTTGTGCAAGACCCGTAGTACGTAACGAACGACACGATACACAATAACCTCCAAATGAACACCGTTAAGAGTGAAATCCCCATGTTCAGTGCCTGTTACCAGAACAGACTGGAAAACCACCCCAATAGTCTAGCGTCATCCCTGGATTTTAATCAAATAATTAATTTATTTTTATATTTTATGTCTGGCCTCAAAAAACGGTTTTTTAGTATGAAAAAAAAAACGGTTTTCGTATTTTATAAATTTCATCAAAAAATAACGATTTTCGAATTTTATAAAGTTATTCAAAAAAACCGGTTTTCCACAATCGGATTGCAAAAACCGACAAACCCTAATTAGTAAGTTGTAACGCAAAACTTCAAGTGATTTTCGTTATAAATTGATATATTTTATTTTATTTCAAAATTAAAATTACATAAACTGAATACATTGTTAGCTTTTTATTGGCAAGAGATTTATTATACTTCTTGCATAAAACTGACACAAGATTACATATAATATATTTAATATACAACGGAAAATAATGTGTATGCTAAAATAGAATATACGGCAAAGTGGACCATGTAATACAGAGTTTTCAATCTGAAATGTATAGAAATAAATGAAAGAAAAAAAAAATATTTGAAGTTAGATACTTACATCATTAATTTAGTGGAGGACGTTGGATTTTCGGTTAATTTCAAATTGAAATAATGCTGTATGATGAAATTGCAAGTATTTAGAGCACAATTTTCATAAAATTCTGGATCGTCCAGTTTGATAATAAAATTATCATCGTTTGGAGCATCCGTTATGATATCGACAAATTTACTATTTTGTATATCCCATTCATTGTTACTGAAGTATTTAAGAACACTTTGGCTTGCAAACACATTTCTCTGCACTTTGACCAAACTAAAAGGACAACATTTAACAATGAAATTACAGTATATGATGATGCGCGCTTACAAAGGTTTCCCTATCTTCAGGTTAATGAAAACATCACCGATGACACTCGGCAACAGTTGGAAAATCATGGAGTACAGGTAATATAACATTTGCGATTTAATTATTACTATGTGAGGATACCAGTTGTAGACTGTACAGGTTTTCAAGCACGAATTGTTTGAGGCGGTTATACATATTTCATTGTTAATATCTAGCAGTTCCTTGCAGCTACCATTGTAAATGCTTACCGGCTCTTCGCTAAATTTTTATGATTATAAATAATAATTTTGACCTGTACAAGAAGTAATTTCTAATATATTCACCTTTGGCCAGTTCCTTTCATCCAAACGGAATTAACCAATCCTTTCACAATATAATCTACTGGCACCGCTTCCGATCTGAACGATAAACTGCTGTTTATGCATTTCAGCAAACCTGAGAATATGCACATATTCATTATTTAACACTTCGAGATTTATTGTTCACAATAATAACCTGAGATAGTCCCAGCTAAAATGCCAATGTGTCCGGTGAAACCTTCGCTATAACCGGGAATTGGATCATCGACAACACTGAACACTGCAAAATAAGCTTATTCATGAAAATAGTCGAGAAATGCTTCAGGACGAACCTATTGCAGGCCTCAAGATTATGGTAGGAATTTTTCCGACGCAAAGATCAAGCACGACTTGCTCAGCCTGAGCTTTAGTGAAAGTATACGTATTTTCTTTCACACCTTTCATTTTAGCGGTGATTACGTTCAGGATGTGCCTATCCATAGATTCAGCAATTTTGATTGTTTTCCTCCAATCACCGTATGGTTCGTACGTTTTTTCCTTTATGCATTGATTTTCGTGATGGCAGTAAGAAGTGGAGACGTATAATAAAATCTATTTACATTATTTTTTAAATTAGTTTGTCAAGGATATAGGTTTAATTTTACCGTTTTCTTTTTCATGGCCAATGCCAGATTGCAGATTTCCCTCGTACCTCTAATGTTTATTAACGCAGAATCACTCAAAGGAGCCTGGAACTTAACAGTAGCAGCAACATGGAAAATGACATCGACGTTGTTCACAAGTAAATCGTAATTATCAGGCGATAATCCTGCAAAACACTGTGAATGAATCCAAATATAAACGCGACAAGAAGCTCACCTAAATTTATTTCAGAAATATCACCTGCTACGAATTGCAGTTTCTTCATATTCTCCGGGTGCAACTCTTTCACCTTATCAAACAACTAAAACAAATCAATTGTAAGCAATTGCTATTAACTCATTATTAAATTTACGATTTTATCTGTTATGCTTTTCATGCGATCCTCCAAAGTTTTGTTTTTTTTCGGTCGAAGTAAGATGTAGATCTTTCCTATATCGGGACAACTTCTGAGCAACTTCTCTACCAACACTTTCCCAATGAACCCCGAGGCGCCCGTCACGAAAACGGACTTTCCACGGTAGAACTCGGGAATTGTTGCAATCGTATCAATCATTTTTGCAAGTACAGGGTGCAAAATGATACTGCACATTAATTTATAGTTCTATTAAAATAGAAACATGTCATTGTAACTCAATAATAGCGGATGTAAAATAAATTTTTTCCAATCATCTGCATAACACTGACAATTTTAATATAACATTTTTTAAACAATTATACGAACTCTTCTACTTGTAATATTTTTCTACATCAGGAAATAGTGGATTCATTGTCTATTTATGATTTTTAGCTTCCAGCCATCAAAACAATATCAATTGTTTCAAAAGTTCGTATATATATACGTATTATATTTGACGCCATTCGCTATCAAATTTTAGCATTGCTAATTTTAAGTAATAAGATGCAGAATATTTATTTTTAATGTTTGTTACGTAGGAGATTGTACAGGATACAATTGCAGAATATAAAAAAAAAACATAATATAGAATGACATATTCAAAATTATTTGTTCTTAATTTATCTATTATTATCATTCTCTCCTTGTGATATTTTCAGACGCACTATACAAAAGTTTCTTGTTTTTCGTATTTTCGATGCCGAGAATAAAACTACATCTCATTCTATGTTGTTTTGGCATCGATTCAAGTCTACTATGATAACACACTATGAACTAAGATTAGATTCCTTCCTACGAAATGTTCAAAATAATGTAACAAATAAAACAGAAAAATATTGGAACAAAATATCTTTATTTCTCAACATAATCTTGATACACTTTTCTCATTGATGTTCAAGAGCCCTTTTTATAGCGAGATCGACGGTTTTCAAAATAGTCAGCTACAACAGACTCTATCACTCCATTTTTTAATAATTTTAGGTATGCCTTCAGAATATTCCATTTGGAAGGTACTGAAGAGCGGCAGCACGTAACTTTAAAAACAAGTCGGTCAGAAGAATTAACTCTAAGTATGGGTATGTTTTACCCAATGCTCGCGTCCACAAGGGTTAAAAGAGGAAAATAATTTGAGGGTGCTAAATTTGGCGAAGAAACAATTTGAACTTTAACTCATGACTATTAGCCATTGTGAGAAAACAGCTTTCTCGTGTCCAAATTTTCGGTCAATATGCGATAAACAGCAACTACGATGTTCGTTTTTGCAGGTTATTCGACTTCGTTTAAATTCTGCCACCCAATACTTTATTGTTGTAAACCAGAGGCGATCTATCATAAAAGTTTTAGGCAACAAACGATCGACTAGGCACTTGTATTTAGTGCAATTTTAGTAAATTGAATGTCAGAAATTTCAAAAATAGAATATCTAATCGATCAACTTAAAAACCTACGATGCGTTTAAAAACATATCTTTGTACATAAATTTGTGTTCGAAAGGCATTAAAAATAATAAGTGTTGTATATATTACATATATTGAAACAGTCGAATCATTGACAAGCCATCAATTCAATGGATCGACTGTTTCACTGCTTTGAAAAAAAAAATAAGAAGTCACTAGCGATTACAATGCAGGGGATTTGAATAAATTGCATTTTACATCCGCTATTATTCAGTTACAATAACATGTTTGTGTTTCAATTCAACTATATAATAGATGTGCAATAATATTTTGCATCTTGTAGTTGCAAAAATGGTTGATACGATTGCAACAATTCCCGAGTTCTACCGTGGAAAGTCCGTTTTCGTGACGGGCGCCTCGGGGTTCATTGGGAAAGTGTTGGTAGAAAAGTTGCTCAGAAGTTGTCCCGATATAGGGAATATCTATATCTTACTTCGCCCTAAGAGAAACGTAACATTGGAGGATCGCATGAAAAGCATAACGGATAAAATCGTAAATTGAATAAAGAATGAATAAGCAATTGATTACTATTGATTTGGTTTAGTTATTTGATAAGGTGAAAGAATTTCATCCGGAGAATATGAAAAAACTGCAGTATGTAGCCGGTGATATTTCTGAAATAAATTTAGGTGAGCTTCTTGTCGCGTATAATTTTGGATTCATTCACAGTGTTTTGCAGGATTATCACCTGATGATTACGATTTACTTGTGAACAACGTCGATGTAATTTTTCATGTCGCTGCTACTATTAAGTTCCAGGCTGCTTTGAGTGATTCTGCCTTAATAAATATTAGAGGTACGAGGGAAATCTGCAACCTGGCATTGGCCATGAAAAAGAAACCGGTAAAATTATAGAGAAATCTTTTAAAGTAATTTAAAAAATAATACACAATGTAAGTAGATCTTATTATACGTCTCCACGGCTTATTGCCATCACGAAAATCAATGTATAAAGGAAAAAACGTACGACCCATACGGTGATTGGAGAAAAACAATCAAAATTGCTGAATCTATGGATAGGCACATCCTGAATGTAATCACCGCTAAAATGAAAGGTGTGAAAGAAAATACGTATACTTTCACTAAAGCTCAGGCTGAGCAAGTCGTGCTTGATCTTTGCGTCGGAAAAATTCCTGCCATAATCTTCAGACCTGCAATAGGTTTGTCCTGAAGCATTTCTCGACTATTTTCAATAATAAGCTTATGTTGCAGTGTACGTGGTTGTCGATGATCCAATTCCCGGTTATTGCGAAGGTTTCACCGCACACATCGGCTTCTTAGCTGGGACTATCTCAGGTTATTATTCTGAATAATACAAATCTAAGTGTTAAAAATTGAATACTTGCATCTTCTCAGGAATGTTGAAATGCATAAACAGCAGTTTATCGTTCAGATCGGAAGCGGTGCCAATAGATTATATTGTGAAAGGATTGGTTAATTCCGTTTGGATGAAAGGAACTGGCCAGAGGTGAATATATTAGAAATATCTTCTTGCACAGATATTAATATTAATAATAATAAATTAGCAAAGAGCCGGTCAATATTTACAATGGTAGCAGCAAGGAACTGCTGGATTTTAACAATGAAACATTGATGACCGCCTTCAACAACTCGTTCCTGAAAATCCGTACAGTCTACAACTGGTATCCTCACTTAGTAATGATTAAATCGCAAATGTTATTTTACCTGTACTTCATGGTTTTCCAACTGTTGCCGAGTATCATCGGTGATATTTTTATTAACCTGAAGAAAGGGAAACCTTTGTAAGTGCGTATCATCATTTACTGTAATCTCATTGTTAAGTGTTGTCCTTTTAGTTTGGTCAAAGTGCAAAGATATATATTTGCAAGCCAAATTGTTCTTAAATACTTCGGAAGTAAAGAATGGAACATAGAAAATAGTAAATTTATCGATATCATAACGGATGCTCCTAACGATGATAATTTTATTATCAAACAGGACGATCCAGAAATTTATGAAAATAGCATTGTAAATTGCTCCAATTTCATCGTACAGCATTATTTCAATTTGAAATTAACCGAACATCCAACGTCCTCCACTAAATTAATGATGTAAGTATATAACTTCAACTATTTTTTTTTCCTTCAATTTATTTCTATATATTTCAGATTAAAAACTCTGTATTACATGGTCCACTTTGCCGTATATTCTATTTTAGCATACATGTTATATTCCGTTGTATATTAAATGTATTCTAAGTATTCTTGCGTCTTTTTTAATTAACAAGTATAATAAATATCTTTACCTGTTCACTAGTTTTTTTTTTCTAAAATTATGTACCGTTTACCGATAAACAAAAATCAGTGAAAATTTGCCTATTTTTCGAACAAATAAAAGTTAATTTCATAAACATACATTCAAAAACTATTTTAATTACAGTGGAACCTCGCTTAACGAGCAAAATAAATTGTACGAAAAATGACTCGCTTAACGACGATGAGAAGAGAAGTCCCGAATTGTGCGCCTGCCAAATCATTTGCATAACTTGTAGTACACATATTATGTGTATTTTTGAATATATTAACCATCTTCGATTTTCTTTGTCATCCTTGTTTAAAGCGGACTATACTTTATATAATTTGTGTTTGCTCTAATTGCAAATCACAAATGTATTGTGTCCAACCTTTATTATAATATATTAACACACTATGTTTGCTTTTTTATGTAAACAAATATTAAAAGTATAAAGAGACCTCCACCAAGTCCCCGAATTGATACAAGTAACATACCTGCTCAAATATGTGTGTAAATTGGAAAACTGTTTCTGGTGTTAATGGTCATTTTAGTTGTATCTTAGTGTTGTTTGTCTTCACAAAATTTCCAAACTAGTGTTCAGAAATGTTATTTGTGTTTTTTTTTGTACAAAATTTAATAATACTGGCATGTCTCCAAATAAAAAGCTAAAGAATAAAAATAACCATAGATATTAAAAGCAAAATCATGAAAAATCGAGACCGGATTAATGAAATTTACATTGGTTTATATGGGGAAAACGTGTTTCACTATACGAGTAAAAATCCGAAAATTTTGGAACGGATTAAACTCGTTAAGTGAGGTTCCACTGTATTTCTTCTGTATTATTATATGAATATGATTTATTTGGATTATATTCGCTGTTGTACCATTGTTATTAATGTATATAACATAGGCAATTATAGATACTTATATTTAATTGTACTGTGGCGCTGACTTCAGCCCGATATGATGTCACGTACCAACCCGGTACGGTACGCCCTACTCCAGCCCGTAGGGGTATACCTGGAAGGGCAGATAAGGATGATACCGCTTAGGGTATATAAGCTACGGATATACTATAATGTTCTCTTGTGTCGCGCCGCGTTAGCCAGTAAGGTTCTCGGTATATGTCTTGTAAGTACCCTTTTGTATCCTGTAACTCTCTCTCTGTGTACCGTTACTTATCCGAATAAACATACTTGTGAACACCGCCATTGTGGAAGTAAATGTTCCTACTCTACGAACATTCCTCTCCTACTCATATAAATGAACTTCTCCAAATTGGTGACCCCGACGTGATCGAATTCTAAAACAAAATGGAGAACGCTCAAGTAGTAACAACCTTTTACGACATGGCAACACACTTCCTACGACATCATAACAACACACCGTCCACAAGACTTTCGACAACATCTTCACAAGCGAAACAACAACATAGACAAACTGGATCAACAAGCGATAAGACGATTAGCACGGTACGACTCCATATGGATCATA